ACAATAAGATTTCGAAACTAACAACACTCACATTATTATGTGGTTAGCCTTGACCTAAAAACTCGCTAGACTTTATAATTAAGTTTGTAACTCTTGATGCCAATTAACATTTCACTATCATAGTTTTCCAAGTTTCAAGTCTAGGATTAAATTCCAATTATTTCCTTTCCAATATCATAATTCAAATGATATTCACCTAGTACTATACATATAATATTAACCCACATATAAATATATCTTACATCCTAGTACTGTTCATCCGTCAACCATAATAATTAATCAATACCCTCTAGTCCATAAACATACGTAAAGAATATATGCCTATCTCTGTACCAGAATGGAAATAAATTTATCTTCACATGTATGTATTGAATACGCATATATATATACATATAAAAATCCCTAACGTCTTAAACTCAGTAACCCTCTAAAATGATCTATAATAATTTCAATGGCAATCATTGCCAATCATCACATCTTAATAACCAACAAATTTGATAACAATTATAATAATAACCCTAGTGCTAGCACTATACCAAACTAACATTATTATAATGTAATATGCCAGCAACTATCCTTATTTTTATATAAAGTAATTAATGTATGCCTACCAAGAATTGAAGATGGCCGAAACGTGTATCTGCAACTCTTTTTCCTCTCTGATCGATGTCGCGGCTAGGTTAGGTTATTCCTCTTCCCTTTTCTTCTGTGTTTTCTGAATCTTCTTTATTTCTAAATTAATTGTTTATTAAAACTGACAAAATTCACTAACTTATTTTTAACACATGGCCCTAATGGTATGGGATCTTAAATAAATGATCACTTTAGCCCACTAATTATCGATTAATTAACTCAAGTTAAACGAATAGTTCAAAATTTCCAAAAATGACCTTCCGGGTCATCACAAAGAAGTTCAGAAACATGTAATCAAACATTTGAATTATTAGAAAGAGAACAACTTTATTTGGATTTTGTCAAAAGAGCTAAAGATTTGCCCCACATACTTAAGAAAACATAAACACATGTGTTTAATTATACCTTTTTTACAACTTTAACCATTAGACCATTTTTCACTTGCATGATAATTGAAGTAGTAGGATAAACATTTTCTGGTTCCACTACTTGGATATTGTAATTGTGTATGATGATAGCTGCCATAATTTTCATCTGAACGAATGCCATTTCTTTCCCTAAACAAGTCCTTGGACCCGCGTTAAACGCTGGAAATTTGAAAGATGGCTCATGTTTGATCCCTCCACGTTCAGAAATCCATCTTTCTGGCTTGAACTCTAGACAATCTTTTCCCCAGAGAGTCTCCATTCTCCCCATTACATAGAATGGTAGAATCATTCTTGTTTTTGGACTAACACGATGACCGCTTGGAAGGATGTCATGATCAAGTGGAACTTTGTGCTCTAAAGAGACCGATGGAAACAACCTAAGAGTTTCACACAAAGCACCATGTAGATAAATCAATTTTCTTGATTCTTCTTTGGTGAAAAACTTGAGGTTTTCATCTTCTTTTACATGCAATTGTTGTTGAATCTCTTCTCTAATCTTTTTCTCAACTAATGGATTTTTAGCCAAGAGGACAAAAAACCAAGTGAGAGCTGCACTTGTGGTGTCCTTCCCAGCCAACATCAAATTCAAGAAAGTATCCCTTAGAAATGTCTGCAATGTACCCAAATCACCATCATTCCATTGATTGTACATTTTGATGTATGCGTTTAAAAATGCAAATTCCTCATCTTTGATTGTAGTTTTATGCATCAACTCTTCTTGTTTTCGCGCTATGCAAGGATATATGAATTGATCAAAAGCCTCACATGCTTGCATGAGCTTCTTCTCTTTACCAATTCTAAGCCATTGTTGCAATTTCCATAGACATTTTGGTGTTATGTGTCTATGTAAAAGTGCATCAAGAGCATCACCAAACGCCTTTTCATATGGTAAATAAGGTAAGTCAATTGACAAGCTTCTTGGATCATGATCAAGTAACAATCTAGTGATGGAATCAAAAGTAAATCTTTGCAAAACATCTTGCAAATCCAATGTTTTGCCTTGTTTTGCAAAAACATCAAGAATTGGTCTAAGCCCTTTTTCAATTATGTCCCACAAGGTCTTTTCTAACAATATTTGGAACTTTGCATGACTCATTATAGACATTGTGGTCTTCCTATGAAGCTCCCATAATTCATGATCAACATTGAATATCCCATTTCCCAAAATATCAAAAATCTTACGAAATTCAGGTCCTTTTGGATAGTTTGAGAAGTTTTTACTAAAGATATAATGTATATCTGCAGGATCGCAAGTAAACAACATGTTCATATTTGTAAAAATAGGACCTTTGAATTCATAAGTACCGCCATATTCTATAAGAACTTCAGTCATATATGCATGAACACAATGAATATTCCCAATAACCGCAGGCAACGCCCTAAGGATTGGCCAATTTGTTGGTGCTGATGTTTTTGTCCTTCTATATATGATGAACCATATAGAATAAGTAAAACAAAAAATCAAAAAGAAAAGAAGAGAATATTCAAGAAAATCCATTGAAGGTTGAATTAACTATTTCTCTTTGCTACTAATTTTAGTAGTGTGTACTAATTTATTTTTAAAAATTGTATACTAATTCACTAAAGTCTTGTAGAGTTTTATACATATGTTGGTGAATTTTGGCCACAATTTTAATTGGACCCCAATTTAAAGAGCCTAGGATAGTTACTTGATGAGTAAGACATTTAATGTGTACACGTTGTCGAAAATTATTGGCAACTTTATTTCGAAGTGACCATTCAACTATATTATAAAAATAAAATAAAAACTTCAAAGAGGTCGTTATTTAAAAAAAAAAAAAAAGAATTACAAAATACCAACTTCTAGAAATCAAAAAAAAAATTCACAAAATGTGAATTTTGAAGATCATACAATTATATTGACTGAGCCCCTTAAGGGGATATTTATTCTCTTATTAGTTTTAAAATTATAATTTATATCGATATTACCATAAGGTCAATTAACTAAAAATTCATATCATATCATAAGGTTTTTTTAAAATATTTTTTCTTTGTCATTTGATTTATTGTCAATATGATTTGTAATTATTAGTTTTTTAATAACATCCTAATTATTTCGATCTCAATAAATATTACGATAATTAAAGCAAAAGTATCAAATACAAAATGATTTATAATAAATAACAAAAAAAAAATCGTTTCTTTCTCATAGTCCAAAAGATATTGTTTGGATCCTTAATGACAAATTAAACACAAGTAGTTAAGCATGGCTCGTAATAATCATGAATAGTATTGGTATTTAGCATCCCCTACCTAATTGAATCTACATGAGTTGTCACATATAATTTAGGGTGTAATACATAATTATGTTTCTTAACTTGGTCTCAGATCATGTTTATGTCCTTCAACTTTGAGTCTGCACAAGTAAACGCTTAAACTTGTATAAAGTCGAACAAATAGACATACGTGTCTTACATGGCATCCTATGTGGTAATTTACATTCTACGTGGTGTCCTATGTGTATTATGCTCCAGTATGATTCATGTGTCTACTTGATCAACTATATGCAAGTTTAAGTGACTACTTATGCACACCTAAAGTTGAAAGGCATATACATAAAATGAGGTTAAGTTAAAAAGCACATTTTACGCTTTCGCTTTAAATCAGCTCACTCTCTCTCCAAATTCTCCCTCCATGTTTATCACTCAATTCTCTCGCCCCCTTCAACCTCACATGTTCAAAATAATTTCTTACTAGATTCAAAGTCATACACATTTAAATACATGTTTTTTACATCAGATACATTGAATTAGAGAGAGAGGCAAGCGAAAGTAAAAGAGAGGCGAGAAAGATTTATTTATGTATCTTACATACATATGCAATTCACACTAGATACACACGAAAATACATGAGTCTTATGTGATTCACATATACCTGAGATACTAATTAAATTTAGCTACATATGCTTTTTTGTCGTTTATAGATGGAGGTCCCCATTTCAAAGGTACGCTTGGAGCCAATAATTTGTTTTGACATCCCAATTATTGGTTACGTTCGAAAAATACTTAGATTAATATCATGAGTGTTGACAAATGAATGAGTCGAATCGAATACAAAAAGTGAATAAAAATAAATAAAATATTATATTTGGCCATATTTAGTACCAATTAAAGTAGAGTTTGCACGGATAATATCAAATGGAAAACACGAAAGTCTAATTACTTTATCCATTTTTTACGGTGGGTTGATTTATATCCGGCCCGCTTTTAACAAATTGATTATCTGATATATTTTTAATTGGGCGGTTGAGGAATATCTTAAGTTTTTATTTGTCATTTTTTTACAAGTTTTCAACAACAACAAAAAAACATTAATTAAAAGGCTAATTTTTAAATTATCTTTATTTATATACGTATTTGATCTTAATTAAATATTACTTTTTTTTCACCATATTAATCTCTCTATATAATTATTGGACAAGTAAATTGAAATATTTGTTTTTGATAGAGAGGTCAAATTATATGAAATGAAAAAAGTATTTTTAGTAGGCACAATATGTACATTAAATTTATTATGTTGTTAGCTAGTTTGAGTGGTTACATTTATTTTATTTGGATTTATTATTTGTCTTCGAAACATAGGTTAGAGAGTTTCGAATACGAAAGTGCTTTTAAGGAAGAAAATAGGAGGAATCACAAATGTTTGCTTTGTGTGTGTCAAAGAAATTCAATTTGTAATTTACAAATTGAGCAATTTGGTGGCTCATCTCTACCACAACTATAGTTGACTAAAATCAAGTCAATTTAGAACAAAATTGACTAAAAAGAGTAAGAAGTAAAGGGTCTTGCATCATGTTCAGAAACATGCATGTAACACAAACATTATTTGAATTAGAAAGAGAAGAACTTTATTTGGATTTTCATAAAAGAGCTAAAGATTTGTCCCACATACACACATAAAATATTAATAATACATGTGTTATACTTTTTTGACAACCTTAACTATCAAACCATTTTTCACTTGCATGACAATAGAAGTAGTGGGATAAATATTTTCTGGTTCCACTACTTGGATATTGTAATTGTGTATGATGGCAGCTGCCACAATTTTCATCTGAACAAATGCCATTTCTTTCCCTAAACAAGTCCTTGGACCAGCGTTAAACGCTGGAAATTTAAAAGATGGCTCATGTTTGATCCCTCCACGTTCAGAAATCCATCTCTCTGGCTTGAACTCTAGACAATCTTTCCCCCACAGAGTCTCCATTCTCCCCATCACGTAGAATGGTAGAATCATTCTTGTTTTTGGACTAACACGATGACCGCTTGGAAGGATGTCATGATCAAGTGGAACTTTGTGCTCTAAAGAGACTGATGGAAACAACCTAAGAGTTTCACATAAAGCACCATGTAGATAAATTAATTTTCTTGATTCTTCTTTGGTGAAAAACTTGAGGTTTTCGTCTTCTTTTACACGCAATTGTTGTTGAATCTCTTCTCTAATCTTTTTCTCAACTAAGGGATTTTTAGCCAAGAGGACGAAAAACCAAGTGAGAGCTGCACTTGTAGTGTCTCTACCAGCAAACATCAAATTAATGAAAGTATCCCTTAGAAATGTTTGCAAAGTACCCAAATCACCATCATTCCATTGATTGTACATTTTGATGTATGCGTTTAAAAATGCAAATTCCTCATCTTTGATTGTAGTTTTATGCATCAACTCTTCTTGTTTTCGCGCTATGCAAGGATATATGAATTGATCAAGAGCCTCACATGCTTGCATGAGCTTCTTCTCTTTACCAATTCTAAGCCATTGTTGCAATTTCCATAGACATTTTGGTGTTATGTGTCTATGTAAAAGTGCATCAAGAGCATCACCAAACGCCTTTTCATATGGTAAATAAGGTAAGTCAATTGACAAGCTTCTTGGATCATGATCAAGTAACAATTTAGTGATGGAATCAAAAGTAAATCTTTGCAAAACATCTTGCAAATCCAATGTTTTACCTTGTTTTGCAAAAGCATCAAGAATTGGTCTAAGCCCTTTTTCAATTATGTCCCACAAGGACCTTTCTAACAATATTTGGAAATTTTCATGACTCATTATAGACATTGTGGTCTTCCTATGAAGCTCCCATAATTCATGATCAACATTGAATATCCCATTTCCAAAAATATCAAAAATCTTACGAAATTCAGGTCCTTTTGGATAGTTTGAGAAGTTTTTACTAAAGATATAATGTATGTTTGCAGGATCACAAGTAAAAAACATGTCCATATTTGTAAAAATAGGACCTTTCAATTCATAAGTACCGCCATATTCTATAAGAACTTCAGTCATATATGCATGACCACGATGAATATTCCAAATAACCGCAGGCAACGCCCTAAGGATTGGCCAATTTGTTGGTGCTGATGTTTTTGTCCTTCTATATATGATGAACCATATAGAATAAGTAAAACAAAAAATCAACAAGAAAAGAAGAGAATATTCAAGGAAATCCATATTGATACTAATTTTGGTAGTGTATGCTAATTTTTTTTAAAAAAATTGTATACTAATTCACTAAAATCTTGTAGAGTTTTATACATGTGTTGGTTAATTTTGCACAATTTTAATTGGATGACATTTAATGTGTACACATTGTTGAAAATTATTGGCAACTTGACCATTCAACTATATTATAAAAATAAAACGAACTAACTAATAAATACGAATATTATATCAAGGTCTCGAGGAAAGACTTTTTTTTTATAAGATTGGTGTCCTGATAAAGCGTGTGCACACATTAATTTATCATTTTCATCAAGTATTATATATATGATGAACCATATAGAATAAGCTAAACAATACATTAACATGAAAAGAAGCGAATATTCAAGGTAATCCATTGAAGGTTGAATTTTTTTATAGTATTTTTGTAGTGTATACTAATTCACTAAAATATTGTATCGTTTTATACAAGTGTTGGTGACATTTGTCCAAAATTTTTAGGACCCGTTTTGGTCATAGATTTTCCAAGTAAAATTTGGGGGGAAATTTGGCAAATAGCGTTTGTTCATACAATTTGCTATTATTTGGCAAATAACCCAAATACTAGAAAAAAAAATAGTATTTGGGGCAAATCTTATTATTTGTAAACTTTTAAAAATTTAAATTCTATATCAAATTTTTATCTTTTACAAAAACACCCCCTATACTCTATAGTATTGTTTGCGTTGTATTACATAATTTTTTATGTGAACACCAAAGTAGTGATGAAATATTGAGTGAATATGAAAGTGATGATATGGTTGTTGATGAAAATGATGAACAATCGACTAAGGATAACAAAGTCAAGTACTTTGTCTACCTCACGATGTATGGAATGATGCTTGTTGCACTCACTCCAAACTACCATATTGCTCCAGTGTCATGGACACTACTTGTTATTTGTTGTAACGAAGATCCAATTGACTTGTAATACAAACTTATGGTTAATTTTGATAGTTTTTAAAACTTATGGGTATAAATAATATTTTCTCTAAAAAGGTGAAATATGTTTCCTAAATACTATGGAAAATACATGGTGAAATTTCACCCAAATAATATTTGTCAAAAATATTTGAAAATCTATGGCCAAACACTAGCTTAATTGGCCCCCAATTTTAAAGAACCTTGGATAGCTACTTGAGGAGTTTGACATTTATTGAAAATAATATTGGTAACTTTATTTAGAATTGACATTTGTGAATATAAACTATTTCATCCAATTGCCTTTTGGTTGCTCATTAATTGATCCAAAAAAAAATTCAAAATAAATATCGTGTTTTTTTATTGTTCAAGAAAGATAAATGAATTATAAGAAGGAGAGCAAAGACAAACCAATAAATTGTCTGAGTCCCCTTCTGTGCATATTACATAGTACAGTACTAGAATTAAAGTATATGAATCCACCACTTGTTGAACTAGTGACTATCCAATATTAACGATAATAATATATTTGGTATAATTATATAATTAGTGGAATTTGAAGAAAGAAGAATGTATACATAGATTTTATCTGATTCATAATAATGTAAATCTTATAAATGAGGATCAAGATTGTTTTGGCAAAAAGTTCAGGTCAAGAAGAAATTTGTTAGGATTTATCGTGAATTTCTTATTTGGATTCTACATAATTGTTTTTTAATCAAAAAAGAATTTCTTGGTAGAAAAGATTTTCTTTTGGAAAAGAACTCTACAATATCCATTCTTTTTTTCGGAAGAGAAGTCTTGGAACTCTATAAATAGAAGATATTTTGTTCTAAAACAAACACAATAACATTAACAATCTAGTCGTTTAGAGAATTTTGTTAAGGATGATATTTATTAGGGGTGTCAAAAGAATATGAAAGCTGACCGAACCAATCGAACCTAACCGTTCCAAATCGATTTATAATATTTTTCAATAAAATTGTGGACTTTTATTTAAAGGTATAACAGTCCCGAACAATTGGGATGCTTTTTTTTAATTGATAAGAAAACTCAAAAAAACTCCGAACAGAACCGAATAACCTTACATGTATGTAAATATATTTTATATATTGATAATGTGTTAAATTTAATATATAAATAGATTTTATAATATTTTTCAAATATAAAGATAACTAGATCTAGGCCTTGACGACTTTGGAGTTTTGCTCTTTAATTAGCCTTTAATTAGTTAGGTTTAAAATTAAAAGATATTAAAGTAGACTCCATCAAACAATACGACAAAATCTATGCAAGCACCCCTATTAAATGTTTAACATCAAACAAAACGGTAACAAGATTTTACATTCTTGACTTCTTAGTGAAGAACTGAAGTGTTTTTTTCAAGAACATATACTTGCGTTTTGATCAGGTGATACTTTAAAAGTAAAAAAAACCCAAAAATTATTGAATCGTGCCGATACCGAAGAGAAACCGATCTGATTGAGATGATTTTTTTTAAAAAAATCTAATTTTAGATATTTAAAATACCCAAAAAAATTGAGATGGTATAATTTCTTAAAAAATAACCGACTAAACTGTCTCATTGACACTCTAATATTTATTCTCTCATTAGTTTTAGAATTATTTTTTATATTAATATTACCATGTGTAGGTCAATATTAACTAACTATTGATCATATCATATCATAAAGCTTTTTTTTATATAATTTTTTCATTGTCGTCTGATTTATTGCATGCCACCATGATCTGCAACTAGTATTAGCTTTCGCGTAACATCTTAATAACTTTCATCGTAACTAATAATACGATAATCGAAACAAGAGTATGAGATACTAATGATTTTAAAAAGTATGACAAAAAAGTTCTCCTCTTTCTCGTAGTCCAAATTGGATCCTTGGTGACAAAATTATACACAAGTGGTAAAGCATATCTAGTAATAAATATAGTATTGGCATTTAACAGCCCTTAACTAATTGAAACCCTACATGAGTTGTCACATATATTATTATATAATCAAAATCAGAAATAGAGGCATTAATGCCTATTTATTTATATGTTTTATGTTTTTTTGGTGGAAAGTACTATTAGAAAATGAAGGTCCATTACCTATAATTAATATAATTAAATCCTGATAGCTATTGGTGGTATTAGATTATCACATGTCTAACGAAAAAACTTAAACCCAATAATTGAATTTTAATCTTTTTCCCATTTCATTCCAAATTAAAAAAAGAAAAAAAAGAAAGAGGATTTTGCATTCTCCTATAAATGAAAGGAGAAAGCAAAGCTAGGGGAGGATGTAGAGTTATAGTGTCAGTCGATTCATCTTAATTCAGTAATTTTAATGCGGAGTATAGATGTAACATTCTCCTCCGTCTCTAAATTTCTAAAAATAAAATAAAATTAGAACAATCAGCCAATTTGATTAATATACTTGAAACACACAATTAAATTTATATTAAAGAGTAATATCTCAAAATAGATAGTCACATAGTATCATAGATTAGATTTCATATACGAACACTACGGACTATTACAAAAAAAAATCACTTTATTTGAAAAAATTTCAAGATGTGTTTGATTATAATTTTTGTAAATAATATTTGATTATTTGAATGTATTTTTCTTTTAAAAAAAAATAAGAAATATAATTAATGAAGTTATTTTTGTAATGGATAAAATTCATTTAACTTGTACGATAAAAATTAACGCCTCAAATTGTACCAACAGCATAGCGAAGTGAAGTTTCACATCTGCCATGCGATGTGTGTGTGTGTTTTTTTTTATTCGGTGTTCGATGAAGCTCGATTAAATTTGAATTTGCGCTGAAATTTTTTATATTGGGAGCTAAAACGCTTCCTAATAAAGGCGATCGCGACTCCGTACTCAAGGACTCAAATTTAAAATCTCTTATTAAAACTAAAGAAATACTTACCACTCCACCACAACTCTGATTGATATCTAACATGTGAGTTAATGTAAATTGGTCTTGTAAGTTCACAAAAAGGATTGAATTTTTAGTTTTATTTTTATTTTTGAGAATTTTACAGCTCACTAAGGCAAGTTGCTCTCTCATTTGATGTCTTATATGATCATGTATAGTTGTGTTGAGTTGTTCAATTGATTTTAACTACTTTGGTAGTTGGTTTAGACGTGAGTTATGTTAAGAAGTTCTACATTGGTAGAGGGATGGAATTTGGTCTCCTTATATAGACTCGGATAAACCTTCTCTCATGAGCTAGCTTTCGAGGTTGAGTTAGACTCAAGTACCATATTTTTACAAGTTATATACTTGTTATATTTTATATAAGTAATTTTATGTAATATAAGGTGGAATAACTAATATGGGATTGTTTTATAGCTAGTTAGAATTATAATGTAGGAATTAGTTATGACTAAATCTATGCATTTTTTATGCTTGTATTAGTTATGCAGGGTTTAGTAATACATGTATTAATTAATTCACCTTTCATCTTACATAAAATAATACATAAATTACCTCATAACTTATACATATATTAATTATGTGGATTTCTAAATTGTCGACCAAACGTCGTTAGACTCCATTTATGAAGCACCTGCCCAAAACGCACCCCTTCAATTCCCAATTAACCACTTCTCAACTTGTTTAGATGGTTGTTGTAACCAAACGTTCCATTTATGAAGCACCTGCCCAAAACGTACCCCTTCAATTCCCAATTAACCACTTCTCAACTTGTTTAGATGGTTGTTGTAACATTTATTAACGTATACCGTATTGTATTATATTATATTATATTTTTTAAATGGTGATAATAATTATATAAAATTATATTATTTTTCATCATTTTATAATGTGGCACACCATTAATCTGAAAATAAGCTTATGATATTACAAAACAAAACAAAAAAAAAAAAAAGGAAAAAGAAGTAAGCCAAGAAGAGAAAAAATTAGTATAAGAAAAACGTAGGATAAAATGCAAACTAAGATCTTTAAATAATAAGGGTAAGAAAAGAAAAGAAAAATAACAATAGCACAATTACACTAAATTGATCATTACATAAAATGACATTTTTTTATCATACATAACAGCAAATTTAATATAC